CGCTCTGACCAATCTGAGCTGCTGATCAGAGCAGTGGCAGAGCGGGAAGGAAAGGAGCAGAGTTTGTGGCAGTAAAGTGTGGATTTAAAGAAAACCGAAGGATTTAAGAAGAAAAAAAGTTCAGGGACAAGGGACACTAAAATCCCCACAAAATCCGATCTTTATGAAAACTGTAGGTTCTCTGTCAGCTGAGGTTGAGCTGTTTTGTTTTAGTCTGCAGTACCACAGGCGCTGCCTGTGCCCATGGGTGAGACAGCTATAAGCTAGTAATACACTATCCAGTTATTATTATAGATCCATGACTGTAACACAGAACTGGCACCAGCGAGCTAGCTTCAGGAGCTTTTATAGAGGCCTGATTGTTGACTGGAGGCAGCTGGGCCCGATCAGTCTGTCCCACACACCTGCTCTGGGAGGCTGCTCCAGGCTACTAAGATCAGACCCAGACGTACATGTAAGGAAACAATAATTGACCAGAGTTTACAAATGGCTATGATCAGGCTATGATCAGGCTATGTTGGATACTCTCTATCAAACACATTTTTCAAGACAAAATTCTAAGTTAGAAGGTTATTTATTTTGCTGCGATTAAAGAACAGCAAAGTGTGAGTTGTGGCTGGAGGATGGGCGGTGACACCACAGACACCACTGTGACATTCAGTGAACACCAGGAAAGGTGAGAGACTGGACTTTTACGTTCCTAGTTATTAATCTGAACCACAAACTGGACTGGACTCACACAGACACTGCTCAGGAGGATGAGGTCTTTTGAAGTTCAGCAGGCACTCCCGAGGACACTCAATTACTCATCAGGTCATCAGGAGGTCCTTCATCACTTCTGCCCATATCCTCACGCTGTAACACATGTCCAGGAGCAGTCATGAACCTACAGCACTAACTACTAAATCTTGTTCAAGATTACCTAAATGAAAATATTCTCTATAAATGATTCAGAACAGTAGTATAAATCTACAGTAGACTCTAGTTTATTGTAGATATATACGTCAGTTCTGTCTCAGAGTAAACTTAACTTTATTCTTGACTTATTACTAGGGCTCCTGGGGACAAATCCAAGATATCTAAATCTTAATGGATTTGCAGGGAACTCATAGATTTAATAGTGCATGTGATAGTGCGAGAGATTCCCATGCGAGTATCGTGGTCTGTCCATGGCCTCGGGCTTTAAAGATGGCCGCCAGTTTGAGTCATGGGCCAAGATCAGTGAAGCGCGAACTTGAAACCAGTTCAGCCTTTAGCCTACATGTCCAGTGTCCAGTGTGAGAATAGCACTTGATCTCTCAGACCAAACTGGTTGTTGGATCGATGTTCATAGGTTCTACAATCCACTAAAGCTTACTCCACTGTCCTCTCAGTGTCGATTAAAGCCACTATTTTATTGCAAGCGTCCTGGTCTGTGTCTTAGCAGCAAAGAACAGATCTAAACATAGATAAAAAGCACCACCATCAGCAAATTATTTCAATAAAATACTTATGTCTATTGAATCCTTTTTTTCTCATCTTCTGGTATTGCTGTTGTATTGTATTATGATTCCAAACCTCACCTATGGTCATGAACTGTATGACCATAAAATTGTGGATATAAGAAAAATGATTTTTTTCCTCAGAGACCTCAGAGTAGAGCCAGGGACTCTCTGGCCAGGAACGCCTTTGGATCCCACTGGATGAGCTGCAGGAGGCATGTGTGGATTGGGAACCCGGCAACATATAAAGTAGAATAAAATGTATGGATGACTCTAAATGAAGTATAACAGTGGTAAATTGATAAAAATTCCCACTCACAAAAGAAAGAATTTATTCTCATAAACCCAGCTAAAGTATGTTTACTGTATGTCTGTAAAAATGAGCACATCTCAATCATGGTCAAAGAGTTAAAAACAGACCAAGAGGCATTCACAAAAATATCAGGTCGCTCTGGTGACGTGAACCACGGAGCCAAGCGGAAAAAGGCAGACACATACATCAGTCGGCCTCGACACGTATGTCATGTGCTGGAGTCACCGCAAGTCCAACTCTGTTGCCCCAAAAAGGATATTAGTTTAAACCCTGCCTTGATGCTTGAAGAAAAGTATACGCAAATGTTTGTCCATTATATGCGCATAAAGACTATATATTTATATATATATTACGATTGAGAGCTTACACAAAAATATTTCATAAAGACTATTATTCATAAACCAAAGATGAGTATTTGCTATATTACCTTTCTTTGACTCGTCAAGTACAACTTGACGAGTTGTACTTGACGAGTACAGAGCCAATATATGACAGAGCCAATATATCACAATGAGCCAATATATGACTCATTGTCATATATTGGCTCTGATTAGTGACTGTGTTTATGCAGAATTGCTCCCCGCCCACTCCGGGGTCTGTGATCAGAAGAAATCATCATTCATGATTTTACAAGTGTAGCGTCAAAGCAGGGCAGACACCAAATCCTGATGAGGCACTCTACTTCACAGGAGAGAAGAAATGTTGTATTGGTCTCTACTTCATTATGGCAACGATTCACATTTTCATTAAATCCAAATTTTCCTAAAAAGGGAGGATGAGAAATTTCGGTGACATAATTGATCACTGGGAGCTGATGGAGGATGAATAAAACTGGTCCTCTCCTGGAGAGTCAGCAGATGTGAACAGCAGGCAGCAAGCAGACTGTGCACATTGTTTATTCAACAAAACTACATCATGAGGGAAAGAAAAGCACATAGTCTGAAAACTAAACTACACCCACTATTTAGGGAATTGTTTAACTGGACTTTCGGCATGGCGATAAGATTTAAGTAATTAAGTAAACAAACTAACCAACAGAGACATTGGGCTTATTACTGAATCCAATATTTACCAGTTTGCATATTATTTATATGTGTTATAAACATCTGAGACTATTTGTGTCTGGTCATTTGTTACTTACAAAGACCTGGGAATGGTTTCATGTGGAGAAGCGACTTCTGTGATCCCTCCAAATAAATTATAGGATAAAGTGCCAAGCGATCAATTAGCCCATGCAAGTGGGATGGTCCTGAGGGACGGTGTGCATCCCCTTTCTACTTCTGGGCTTCGCTGATTAAAATGTGAGTGATAGAGAGAGGGCCAACGTGAGGCTGATTAATGGGCCTGCCAGGCGTGTGCACGTGCACACATGGCCCACAGTGATCGATAAGGCCAGTCCCAATGAACTGCTGCGATGTGCTGGGAAGATCCAAACCACCGCTGAGGGAGAGAACTTTGGAACATGCACAAGTACAACTCAGCTTTCAGCCTACAACAATTCCCATTCAGTTTAAAATCAAGAGTTTCCAGGCACAATAGAGGCTTAGTTATGAGCTCACTACTACCCATCTGATTAGCCGCAAGCAAGATTTTAATTCCACAAAAGAAAAGTTGACCGGTTGCCAGTAAGTTCTCTTGAAAACAAAAGTGAGTAGTTTTTTTTTTCTCTTATGTTGAGATATTTAAAAAAGATTGGGAGAAAACCATCAAGCCCACTTTTTCTGTGACGCTTAACTTCAATGTTCTAAGCCTACATCTCTGAGGTGGACCCATACGAGGTCATGTGCATGGAAACTGCAATCACAGCAACTTTTCCATCAGATTAAAAGAAACCTAATTCCCCAGAGTGGACCACGTTCAAGTTGGTAGATACCAGCAAATAAAAAAACTAAAACAAAAACAAGCTGAAGGCATTTAAAATTCAGGTCCATTTTCATCTAAAATCCACCTCCAAGACAAGAAGACATTTTGACCAGGGATATAGAATGAATCGCGAGAGGTATGGAGGAGGCAAGTTTTGATAAGAAAGGAAATACTTTTAAAAATAAATGGATGGTTGAGATGCAATCTTTTGAATGATGAGAAGTTCAGTTTTATTGCTGTTAAGTTTCAGAAAGTATTTGTCCATCCAGAATTTGATGTCAGAGATGCAGTGTGTAATGGTGGAGAGGATGACTGGAGAGATTGATTTGGTGGATTTGGTGGAGATGACAGTGAAAGTGTAGTGGTGACGGATGATGTGGCCAAGGGGAAGCATAGATGAAGAGGAGGGGGCCTAGTACCGAACCTTGGGGAACACCAGTGGACACAGGGGAGGTTTGGGATGTACAGTTGTGAATGGAAATATAATGATGACGGTCAGAATATAATTGTTTTTTGTGATTGCTTTTTTTTCTACCATGAGATGTTGCTGCAGTACAATGTTCATGGTTTTACACTGGTCCAGACCGGAGCGGAGAGGATTCATGGTCCAAAACCTGGTGGATCAAGCAAAAATAGACTGGAGGAATGCTAACTTTTTGTCACATGCTAATGAAGCATTTAGCATTTTACTTCGGACTAGCAGAGAAAATGGTCTGAACCAAGCAGCTACAGCACCTCAGCTGCTGTGACCTGAAGGGCTGTTTTATTATCACTATTGTTAGCTTTTTAGAATGATCAATTTATTTGTTTTGTTTGTGTGGATGGATGTGTTTTTTCTTGCTGCTGGACACATGAATTTCTCCTACGAGGGATCAATAAAGTATCTATCTATCTAATCTCTTTTCTGTGTGTGGTGCTTTTCTTGACCTGAAAACTTGATCTTGTCACTTCTTGGAAGAAAGTCACAGCTAGATCACTGTGTAGTTGTGACAGGATTAATGTTTTATTATGTGTTTTTTAACGAAAAAAGTAACTGAATTATTGGAACTCAAGTACATTGAATAAAAATAATTAGATTTGATTCAAAAATATAACAATATGATGCTACAAATTGATGAGAGAGGAGAATGACTCTGTGATGGTGAGAGGCTGTGACTCTGTGGTGGTGAGAGGCTGGAGCGCGCAGTAGTGTTTCCACAGTATAGGCGCGTCTCATTGGCCTGCGGGAGCGCGCAGAGGAGATATAAAAAGCGCGTGTGCGAGCGCCACGTCCAGGACACTTCACTGCTCAGGAGCGGAGCCTCTCATCAGTTTTGCAGTGCACTGTGGGACACGCACGAACCATGAGCGAGGTAACGACTCTCCGCACTTTAAACACACACGCGTAACGCCGTTACTGATGAGGAAAAAGTTTATTTATGCTCAATTAGGAGGCGGATAATTTTATATCAAACTAATTAGACACTTGTTATGGATTTGAAACGAAAAGCTTAGATGTTCAACAGTTTTGTATAATTCTGCCCTGATTTCCACATTCACCGCAATTATATACACTAGAACGTGCTCTCGGAGATCACATACCCCGCCAACACCACGGATCATCTCAACATTTTAATGGGATCTTCCTTCCATCTCTACACACCACATTTCAGCTCAATCCGTCCGGAACACAACCCCACGCGGAAACGATCACAATACTCTGTTGGTGGGGCTATAAATGTTCTGAGCAGGCATGAGCCCAGGCAGATATATATGTATTATATATGCACGTTATATATGTGCATGGCCTGATGACCTGAGCCCATTATGATTCTCAGCAAGACTCACATTCTATTCACTGAATTATTCAGGGGAAATTGCCAACACGCACACGTTATGAGCTGCATGTCGTTTAAATAGTATACCATATATATATATATATATATATATATATTGTTTTAAGGTGTGTATTGCCTCTCCATCCTTCTGTCACTGAATATTTTATTGGAGTTTATGTAATACAAAAGTGTGCTATGGCATAATGTGTCCGTTTATACTAAAGCAAAGTTATGACATATCCTCAGCTGCTGATCAGTGGTTCAATTATCTGTTGCCAAACTATTTTAGAAATGTATGATTTTGTGCTCATGCAGTTTCTATTTATTTTTTATTTAGTTGTGCACATTGTGCCAAAGACAGATTGTGAAAAACCCTGAAATATAAATGGCTGAAGAATTTTCAAAGCATCTTCAAAACCCCTTGGGGATTATTGCAGATGTATTTGTTATTCTGGAAAAAAGTCCTTTGTATTTAAATGTATCTGATTCTTATTCCAACTAAAAACAACCTTTGCCAAGACAAAACCAGGCTGTGCAGATTGAATAATTAAGCAAAAATCAATAGCAGCCTCAGCCTCAGCCTCAGCCACAAAAACCTGGACCTTTCCCTCCTCCCCTCGTCTCGGCAACAAAACTCCTCAAAATACCGAACCTACCTCTGTAGAAGTTGGTTATTTCTCCCATAAGTCATCATCACGCATAAGTAGAACTGACTCATGAATTATTTTCTTCTTTTCTTTACCTTGAGTTTCTGGGATAAAAAGGAGCTCCCATAGTAAGAGCCAGCAGTAAACATGTTATTACTGTATCACTGCCAAGAGCTGCAATACTTGGCAATATTACTTTAAAACTAGTCCTTGTTGGTCAAATCCAAAAGTTTAAAGACATACAGTAGTTGCTGGATTACAAGCCACTACTTTTTTCAAGTTCTTTAAATCCTGCGGTCTATATAGGGATGCAGCCAATGATTGAATGTTCAATTTTGTTAGAGCTCTCCCTGGGGTGCAGGAATGGACTTGGACACAGCTCAGATCAGCTGTTGATCTCTAGAGCTATGATGAAGCACACATTCCTGCTTCTAGTGTTATTATGTGAACAGCAGGGAAACGACACGAGGAAGAACAGGGAAATACACGGGAAAGTCAGAACAGACTTTATGGACGTATTATTTTGACTCAAGTTTTATTAGAAATGTTATTGTCAAAATAGATTGGATTTTACAGAGTATATATTGTGTTGGGTTAAAACATTACTGGGTCGTCTATCAGCTTTATTTTGTTCATCAGCGATTCATTAAGGGTTACATTACAACATGAAAACGTGTGGCTGATATTCAAGTGCAGCCTATGGAAAAAAAAAAGTTGCAGTAAATAGTAATTGCATGCAGATTCAATTCAGCTGAAGCTTAAATAAAAAAACAAAATCCTAAAAATATGTATATTTTCAATCATAAGTTTTTTGAGAGTCATGGTTGTTAAAAAAATGGGCACAAACTGCATTACAAATGTTGTTTTGTGCTTCAGCGGCTACAAACTTCTGTTCACTTTTCCTTTGTTCTTTTTCTCCACGCTCTCAAAGAAACTGCTTTTGTTGCTTCGTCTTCAGACACTTCAAACTATTATGTAAGCCAGGGTATTTTTAGCTTCACTATGCTGATTACATACAGTATTACTTGTTAGGTTTTTCACATGTTCTGTCGACTACATCAGTTTTTATTAACATTAATTAGACATTTGATTATGGGATTTCATAATCTAATGTCTGCACTGGTCTCAAATCCTGCTCTTTTCAGTTGGTATCCTTCTCTGTTTAGGCCTGTGGTTGTTCAGAAACTTTAAGTATGAAGGCCCCCGCTGGAGTCCACACTGCACTCCACTAAGAAACACTGGTTACACTTTTCTGATTCGCTGATGAAGATAATTGTCATGTATCATCAGAGGAAACAGGTGCAGGCACAGAGGCTCACATTCATGTTTGGTGTGCTTGGATGTAAGCTGTTTTTGATGCGTTCGGACTTAGGTATCCCTACACAGAGGCGTCCCGTGCCAACAGGCAAGGCAGGCAGCTGCCTGGGGCCCCCAAACCGGCAGGGGCCCCCGAGGGCCGACTGATTTGACACAAGCGGTCGACTTGTACAGGCCACAACAGGTACCTGCAGTGACGAGTTGCAATTTGACCGCCCGTCTCAAATCCCCTGATAGGGCCCCGCTCCTCTCGCCCCTCCCCCCATGTGTGTCAGTGACAGAGGTGAGGTGAGCGGAGCGTGCAGGCAGCCAGTGTTGCCAACTTAGCGACTTTGTCGCTAGATTTAGCGACTTTTCAGACCCCTATAGCGACTTTTTTTCAAAAAAGCGACTAGCGACAAATCTAGCGACTTTTTCTGGTGTTATTGGCGACTTATCTGGTGTTTTGGCGACTTATCTGGTGTTTTGGAGACTCGTGAAGCACGTATTGTTCTGCTGTCCTCAACGTGAGCCCCTCCCCCGTCCCAAAGCACTTACAGGCGGCCAGTCTCACAGTAGCCTTGCGCAGCAGTCCCAGCTACAGTCTATGGGCGGAGCAGAGAGAGAGAGGAGACTCAAAAGCACAGGAAGTTTTCAGGCTGCTGCAGACTGAACTTCAGCTCCACCACCACCACACATCCAAAGCTCCCCGGCCACTCCTACCACCGCCACCCCCCACTACCCCCCACTCCATCCGCGGCAGCTCTGTCCGTGACTCTGTTTTCTCTCAGTAGTGGGTCACATTAAATCATTTGTTATGCCAAACTATGAAAAAAAAAAAAAACTTACAAAAATAAACCTAAGTAACTCTGCCAGAGTGTGTCTTTTGGGTCACTTTGCCGGTCCCAAGCCCGGATAAAGGAGGAGGGTTGGTTGTAGAGCTAGCAATTTCACCCTACATAACAATCTTTTGATTACATTTGCTGTTATAACATTTAACAATACAGGACAAAACTGATGTGTGTAATGTGGATCTAGACAAAGCATTAAAATCATTAAATGTTGTTAATGTTGAAATTATTTTTGTACATTTGTAGTTCTAAACATATTTAGGGTGTTTTTACTCACTTTTGTCTCTCCCACGACCTTATTCCTCTCTCCTACAGCGTCCGTTACAGTTATTTGCAAATGGCATATTATGCAAATTAGGCGATGACGTCATTTAGCGACTTCTAGCGACTTTTGGGACAGCCAATAGCTACTTTCCTTACTGAGGAGTTGGCAACACTGCAGGCAGCGTGCCATTTCTCCCAAAGCAAAACAAAGTTGTCCGACCAAATGAAGAGAAGTTATCCTTCTGGAAGCAATAAACGAAAGCGCAAAAAAGAGGAAGACAAGAAAAGAAAGCATGATAGCGGTGAGTGACTGTCTAATGACTGTCTTATCTTTAAGCTCAGTCTGCCGCTACACACACTACTACAGCCCCAAGTACTGCCACGCCAAGGTTTACTGCCCCCTCAAGCTTTACAGCCCTGGACAGCAGCGCTTTCTCCAGTGAGCAGCAGTCAGCTATATCCAATACTGCAATTGTCAACATTTCGTCGCCTACCTCCATTGACCAAGAGGACCAAACAGAACCACAAGCACCCACTCCAGGTATGATATTAGTGCAATAATATATTTAGTTTGAAAAAATGCTTGAATTTTACACACTATGGCCTTTTGTAGTATCTACCATATCTATAATTTCAAGCAAATATAAGAGGTATACTTGAAAATAAATTAATATCTAAGTTGGTTTGTATTTTGAAGATGTGTAAATTAAAAATACATAAATAGTAATGTAAATATGGACATACTTAGCAAGCCATCTTTAGCAACAATTGTAATTGTAAAGGCTGTAAAAAGAGACTAAACATAGTGTTTGTTCAAGTAATGATATCACATCAGGATTATTTATGGTTATTGTGTTTTTCTTTTGAGAATTCATGTGTTTTTTAAATTTGTTTCAGCTCAAACGGTATCCACAGACCAAGAAAAAGCAACACCAATAAGATTGACATCTTCTGATCCTGGACAGTGGCCTGATGTTCTTAATGATGGTGAAAAGAGTTCCCTGGTGAAAAAAGGTCCTCTTCAGGTGACGGATATTGTTTTTCCTCAAAGCAATGAACAAAATCCTCGGAGATTCACAAAGGAAAATTATTACATGGTCATGAGAAATGGTGAAAAAATAAAGCGAACATGGCTAGTATATTCAAAATCGACCGATTCAGTCTTTTGCTTTGCTTGCAAAATATTTGGCAAAAAGGACAATAATGCTCTAACTAAAGGAGGGCTTAAAAACTGGAAAAACCTTGTTGCACATTTAAAAGAGCATGAATATTCCAAACCCCATATAAATAAGATGAAAAGTTGGCATGAGCTCCAGATAACGTTAAAAACAAAATCTGCTCTAGATCAAGTTCTACAAAGAAGTATTGTCACAGAGTTGAGAACCTATAAGCAAAGCTTATAGGTTCTCAACCTATAAGCTTTATTGTTTAGTTGTTAATTATGTTTTCATAATATTGTTGTTCTGCTGATCTTTGT